GTGCCCCATTCCTCAGCCCCAGGGTTGAGCTGCTCATTCTTTTGTGGTGCTTGTTGGGCTCCTGAAGGCTGGACTTTGCCAGTCCTGGGCAAGTGTACCCGCTGCATCCTCAGCCCAGCCAGGGTTGGGTTTTGAAGGATCCACAGGGGATGGGGGAGAGAGGCTGGGCCGCAGGAGGTCTGGTGTGAGCGAGCCTTGGAGGGGGCTTGTGGGTCTGGAGAGAGGTAAATGGCGAGGGGGCCGGGCAGTTCCGGAGCACACCTCCAGGGTGTGGGACGGGGCTTGGTGGAGGAGCTGGCCCACAGGGGAGCTCTGGATTTGAGCCTGGTGATTATCAAATCATGTGGGCTTGGGACATTTGTGAGGGGAATTGTGTGCCCTGCAGGGCTACAGAGGACTGGCAGCTCCCTCACCCAGGACAACCGGGGTTAACAGTGGGGCTGTGTGTGTGTTTCTCAGTATTTTTTTTCCATGCTCATGGTAACAGATTGTAAAGTCAAATATAGACGAATAAATTACCTTCCTTCATGTTTCTCCCCTTTCCTTGGATCTTTCCCTGGAAGGTCTCTACCTCATTCTTTAATTAATATTTTATTTTATCTTTTTGTGGTGCCAGGGATCAAACCCAGGGCCGCCAGTGTGCTAGCAAGTGCTCTGCCCCCGGGCTGCCCCCTGGCTCACCCATGTAGTAGCTGCAGTCCCTCGTGCATGACACGCCATGTGATGGCCCTTGATTTGGAGGTTGTCATTCTTGTTGCTTGCTGGGCCCCTGAAGGTTTGACTTTTCCAGGGCTTTGCTTCCTCTCTGGCTGCTCTGAGCATCCTTGTTCCCATTGCTCCCTGGCCAGTGTTTAGGCAGGGGACATCCCTCAGGTGGACTTGCTTGGCCAGAGGGTCTGAGTCCCACATTCCCACAGCAGTTGTCCCATTCATGTGGCTTTTCTCATCAAATGGTTGGTGGCCTCCCGGTTCTCCTCCACCCCTGACGTGCTCGTGGCCATACTGCCCATGACCTAGGGGATTCTGTGCATCCTTCTGACTGCAGATTTTACTTCTTCCTAATTAAAAGGAAAAAAAAAAATCAGCCATTTAGATGTATTTAGAACAAAGTGCGAAGGTTTCTGCTGATTCTTTCCCCTGAGCCACTGGTCCCAGATGTATCTCACTTTTTTTTTTTTTTTTTTTTGGTGTGTGTGTGGTGCTGGGATTGAACTCAGGACCTAGTGCATGGGAGCCAGCACTCTGCCAACTGAGCTGTGTCCCCAGCCCCTGAGATGTATTTCTACTGAACTCATTCCTAGACCTCCTGTGCAGTTTGGGAGCCACAAGATCACTGTGGCTATTTAATTATAATAATGAAATGGAATGAAGTGTCACATTTGGGGGCTCGGCAGCCTCAGATGGTGAGTGGCTGGTGACTTGGGTGGCTCTGGTGTGAACAATCCTGTCATGGCAGAAGGTTTGGGACAGAGTGGGGCTGTCAGCCTCAGGGCTGTTGACATGGGGGGTGGGGGATCTCCTGGGGGGCTCCCCTGGACTGTGGGGTGTTCAGAGGCTTTCCTGGCCTCCTCCCACTAGACCCTGTAGGGCTGCCCTCCCCTGCTTGTGACAGCCACCGCTGTCTCTAGAATTGCCTGGGGCTGGGGAGGGGCAAGGTCACCCCCTGCTTCTCTGAGAACCAATCCTGGGACAATTTTCTCCACACTGCTTTTGATTTTCTTTACGTTCTTCCCTATTTGCTGAATGTTATTGCTAATACTATTTTTTTTTTCTAAATATTTTCTTTTCTTTTTTTTAGTTGTAGTTGACACAATACCTTTGTTTTATTTATTTGTATGTGGTGCTGAGGATCGAACCCAGGACCCCGACCGTGCTAGGCGAGTGCTCTACTGCTGAGCCACAACCCCAGCCTTATTTCTTTTTTAATTCTCTAAAAACGTTGGTGTTTTTGTTTTTTTGTTTTTTCAGTGCTGATAGGCTAAGCAAGTGCTCCACATTTCCCAGCCCTGAGCAAATACTTGCCAGGTGCCTGCTGTTGTGGGGATGCTGGGAGCCCGGAGCTCTTTCTGTGGAGGCTGGCCCTTGTTACATTAGTTACCTTTTTCAGAAACATTGTTCCCTTGGCCCTTCCCTGGTGGATTTTTTTTTCCTTTTTGTTTTTTCAGCCAGGTTCCATGAGAGCAGGGCAACACACTGGCCAACACACTCTCTTGTTGTGACCATTATTCATTTTATAGTCAAATAATAAGAAAATCCACTTTGATTTTCCTTATATGAGTGGTAGAAGTAAGAAACAACGTATCTAAGTCAGGCGGGTGGTGAATGGCCTGTAATCCCAGTGACTTAGAAGGCTAAGGCCAGGCCGGAGGAGGATCTCAAGTTCAAGGCCTGTCTTAGCAACTCAGTGAGGCCTTAAGCAACTTAGAGAGACCTTGTCTCAAATGAAAAATCAAAGGTCTGGGGATGTAGTTCAACACCTGGTACCCCCCCCAAAAAAAAAAAAAAAAAAAAAAAAAGCAGTGTATCTAGCCTGATATGGTAACCTAGTTGTTATGACGGTTGTATAAACATATGGGGAAGTTGTTTGTTTCTTTTTCTTTTTTTGATCTGGAAAGATCGCTTTCAGGAAATAATATCAATAATAATTGAATGCCTATTATATGTGAGGTGCTGTCCTGCACCCTGTATAAATGAATTCCCAAAGTCCCAAAGTAATTAAGCCAGGCAGGACTTAGACAAGAGGTGGGAATGGAAGATGCCCGGCCCAACGCTGCACAGCCAGTGTGGAGCAGGGCCGGGGTTTGCACTCAGCTCTGGTGGCCAACTCCTTGGCCCCAGGGTCCTGCCGTTACAGAGCTGTGCTTGTGCACTTCTCACTCTCAAGGATGGTGTCTTGCAGCCCATCTCCCCACCTGTCTGGAACTGCAGTAGAGGATTCTTCATCTCAGTGGGTAACGGACAACTCAGTTTGGTGTTAAGAAACCGCAGCAGCACCTAGGATGCCAAGGTGACAGGTGCCACAACACAGCTCTGGGAAACTGTCCCTCTGGGGATGTCCCACCTAGGTGCTGAACGTGACCCATTAGGCAAACAGAGTATGGTGGAAGCTGCCAGGGAAAGAGGGGGATGCGGGTGTACAACCCACTGTCCACGGGGAGCCCGGCTGCCACCTCTTCTGTCTGGGCAGGTGTGGATGATCAGATGGCTGTAGTATATTTGGCATCAAAAGAGGTGTCCAAAATGCAGGCAGGTGATAGTTGTAGTTGCTTTGTGATAAAGTTTCAGCCATTCCTGGATGATACACTTCTTTTTCAGTCTCCATATTTCCACTTTTTAGCCCCAAGCACTTGCTGATGTCTCTGCAATAAGGAGAGGAAGCGGTGGGGTGGGCCTTGCAGCAGCATGCACCTGGCACAGGGAGCATCCTTTGCTTTCTGTCGTCCTATTTTGAGGTTGCCCTTCTGGTTAGGGGAGTGGTGGTGCTTTCCATTAGTGGCCATGGTATGAGGTTACCTTCTAAAATAAATGTATGCAAGTGGGTGAGTCAACTCAACACAGCTAGTTTGCAAATAAAATCTAGAGCAGGAGTTCTCAACTTCGCACTCTTGGCACTATGGTCTGGAAATGCAAAACCAACAGGAATGTGTCTTTGAGGATGGTCCAGCCATGTGACAGCCAGAAATCCGAGACAGGAGATTTGGGTAGTAATTAATACATAGCCAACTAAAATTGGCTCCATCAAAGTCAAATAGAACAACCTAGGAATTCCCAAGACTGAGGAGTTCAGACAGTGGACAAATCCATGTGCTCTCCTGAGGTTGTTCCCTGCCTTGCTGGGGATACTTGGGGAATGGGTGTCTGATGGAAAAGAAGCTGGGATTGCTTGCCTGTTGTGATTGCTGACTGTTCAGAAAACACTGTGTGGAAAGTGCAAGTTACATTCAGTGCAGGTGGAAAGTGAATGGGGGAGGTGAAAATCAGATTGAGTGAGTTGGACTTGGAGCTAATCACACGGGGCTCAGATGATGGAAGCCTTGCTTTATCCTCTAGCACCTAGCCCTGTTTCACAGTGAGGTGCTGCCTTAGGAGAAGGAGAGGGTCTTGTTCCAGTCCTTGGCCCTCACAGGACCTGGACTAGTACTTCATATCAGGTGACATTTCATAAATGGATCTTTACTATAATGAATTTAGCTGAAAAGCATTGAGTCTCCTAGACGGTGCGCGCACAAAGGGAAAAATGCCAGTGTTACCCGAGGATGTGCAGGAGTTTCCCCTACTCTTTCCTCCCCGGGGGTGGGGGGATCAGCTTGCCCTGGAGGTTTCCCGCGTGCGTCTGTTGGTGTATCCTCTTGCTTTTGTGCAAAAGAATGACATCTCTCAGCACCTCACTTTTCACAAATTTCGTTCTTTACGGGTTGTTAGGAATTCCATTTTATGGATGAACCCAGTGAATTAACCCAGCCTCCCCCTGAGGACAGCTAGATTCTTTCCAGTCTCTTGCTGGCACAGTGCATGCCTGCTGCCAAGAGCATCCTGATGCTTGGTGCTCATGCACACACCCGTAGGTTAATAATGAGGGGCGTAGCTGGAGAGTTGATGTGTAGAAGCTTCTGCCAAAACAAAACAGAAAAAGCCTACAAGTTTAATCCGATACTGTGCGGCCCTCTCCATTCTTTCTCGTTTTTCACTGGAAACATACAACTGTGAGACCTATCACTGCAGGATTATTGCAGGATGCAGAGAGAGTGCTGGCTCTTAGAGGGGTCAGTCACGGCCATCACAAATGTGTCTGCCCGTGGAATCGTGGTTGGCTGTCAGATGCACTCTATTTCCACTCCTCCCTCCCTCCCTCTCTTTCTCTCCCGCCTTCCTTACTTCCTACATTCATGCAATCTGGCCTCAGTGAATATCCACTGACGGCCGGCATGGGTGATTTGTGGCCAGGAGCACGTGGGCAAGGGGTTGGGCTTCTTGAGACTTCTATGTGTCTGACCTCTGAACGACTTAGAAAGTGGCCAGCAGGACTGAGTTACTAGAAGTGATACCTGTCCCTTTCTGAGCACACTCCACTCCCAGCCCTGGCTTACTGGAATGAGGATGCTATTTTTAAGAAAGAGCATTGTGTTTCATCGTGGAAATTTTGAGCATCTGAGCAGGCAGCTTGCTGGCTGGCTCAGCTTTAGGGTCCTGAAGCACAAGGACTGTATGGGTTCAGCTCTGGACTCCAGCATCCCACCAGGACGTGGCCTGCAGGAGGAAGGGCAGAAGGAGGGTCTGCCGAGGACAAGTGATCATGTGAGTCATTGTTGCTACGCCAGGTTGGTTTTATTTCAGTTGTCGACATCTTGGGGGTTGGAGAGCTGGCAGGGCTGGGATTCTCTTTCCCAGGCTGTGCATACTGGAGCAAGGTGAGCCGCTGGCCTGGGCACTTCCACTGTGGTGCTGAAGGGGCTCCTCCTTCTCCAGACCCCTGGTTTATCAGCCCTCTTGTGGGTGAGCTGCCCTTCACGGAGTGGTGCAGATCCCAGGCATTCCTTTCCTTCTCCTGGGCTGAGCTGGGAGGGGGGGTGCCTGTGGGTTGGTGCCAACGAGCTGCCCTCTGGGGATAGCAGGCTGAGGTGGTGCTTGGGTTGGGTGTACTTCCGGCCTCGCGTCTCCAGGTTCTGCTGGGCTGAGAGACATCATCTTTCTGGTTTCCACCTCCAGGGTGTTGCTATAAAGGTCAGCTGGGGGTGGAGGAGACTCCTGGCCCCTTTATGTAATACTCCGCCACAGCATGGCTGGAGGAAAGACTGTGAAGGAGACCCAAGCCCAGGCTGAGACTCCACTGTGCCTCGCCTCTCCATAAACCTGGGTGCTTTGTTTTGTGCTTCCCTCTCTCATCTGCAAAATGTAAGAAATAATAGTGCCTTCCTTTTTCTTTTTAAATGAATCCTGCTCTTTGAAATATGTAATGTAAGTTTGGGGGAAAAAAATATGTAAAATACGTATATAACCCGGGAGTGCTTAACCACTGAGCCACATCCCCAGCCCATCTTTTTATTTTTTATTTTGAGACAAGGTCTCACTAAGTTGCTGGGACTGGCTTTGAACTTGTAATCCTCCTGCCTCAGCCTCTGGAGCCTCTGGGATAACAGGCATGCGCCCTGGGACAAAGTATCTTTTACTTGGACTATGGCTCTGTTTTCCCATCTCACTAAAGGACAAAACCCCAAATATGGCTGTGTTCCTGACCTAGCCAAGACCTAGCAGAAAGGCATTCTGAGGAGAGTGAACAGACATGGAAGGCCTCTATTTTGTTGGTGTGACATTGATGTGGGCCCAGCCTGGGAGATGTGGGTGTGTCCTTGGTGTGTGGGCGTGGCCTTGACGTGGGTCCAGCCTAGATGTGGTGTGACCCTGGTGTGTGGGCGTGGCCTTGATGTGGGCTCAGCCTGGGAGAAGTAGGTGTGCCTTTGGTATGTTGTGTGGGGCGTGGCCTTGATGTGGGCGTGGCTGGGTGTGGCCTCCATGTGGGGCGTGGCTGGGCGTGGCCTTGATGCTGTGGACTTGTGTTTCCAACAGGTGCTGCGAGTGGCTGAGATGCTGTGGTGGAGGCGAGCCCAGGCCGCGCACTGTCTGGCTGGGACACCCCGAGAAGAGGGACCAAAGATATCCTCGGAATGTTATCAACAATCAGAAGTACAATTTCTTCACCTTTCTTCCTGGGGTATGTGCTGGCAGGTCCAAACCCTTTTCTTTTCCCACCACAAATTGAATGGATGGTGCCAGTCTTGGCAAAGTGGAGCCCCTGGGCAGGTTTGGCGAACACTGTGTGTTCTTTTTGCTGCCTTCGTCATTGATGATTCATCTTTCCTGGCCTGAGCACCTGCAGGGAACTTCCTTCTGTCATCAAGGCTGTGACACTCTGCCTGTTTGGTTAGAATAACCTCCCATTTATTTGATGTGTTGAAACTAAGAGTGGGAAAGGTATTTTGGGAACCCAGCATTATAATAAAAACATCAGCAGAGAATATCAGCCACACTTCTTTTTTTCCTCTTCTCACCATGAAACACATGCTCAGGAGTATAGGAAAATTGGAAAATGAAAGTATAGAGGGAAAAAAAAACTAAGATAAATTTTAACCCTGCCATCTGGAGAGGGACATTCTATTTACATGTTTCCTGGTGAACGTTTCTAGAGTCAACGTTTCTCCATTGACTTGTATAAATCTACGGATGGACTGAGCTCACTTTTCCCCAGTACTCCCCCAAATTACATTTCTTTTTTTGGTCTAGCATGACTTTGTGTGTGTGGGTGTGTGCACACGCGCACACACGTGGGGTGGGGTGGGGGGAGGAACTTGGGGGTTGAACCCACCGAACTGCACACCAGCCCTTTTTATTTTTTATTTTGAGAAAGGGTCTCACTAAGTTATTGAGGCTGGTCTTAAACTTGTGATCCTCCTGCCTCAGTCTCCTGAGTCGCTGGGATTATAGGCATATGTCACTGTGTCTGGCTTCCAGTATAGCTTTGAAATATAAGCCTGTTGACTTTAGAAGGAGCAACAGCAATCAGTTCAAATGCAGGAAGGAAAAAAAATCTCTAGTGTGAGAAGTTGGGCAACGATAAGGAAGCCTGGGTATGTTACAGTGTGGTTCCAGATTAATTTGAATGTTTTTAGGGGTGATTTTGACTATGTCTATTACTAGCTGCCACAAACCACAACTTGCCCAAATCTGTGTATCTTAAGTCAAAAAAATAAAAGTTGTCTTCTCTCTCATGGGAAATCTTACGTGCACTGGTCACTGTCCTCTGTCTTGTACGTATGCCATCCAGATTGTATGGCTACCAAATTCCAGGGCCGGGTAAGAGGTGTACTGGCTTTAAACTGCCTTAGCCTAGAAGAGCCAAGAAACTTTCTCTCCTGCTCATTGGTCAAAACTAAATACATGGGATCAGTGTCAGTCCCAGGGCTCGAGCGAGCAGTCAGAACTCTGCCAGAACACCCCTGACCAGGCTAGGATTCCACAGTACTGTTTTGTGGTGTTGAAATCCTATTTAGCCATCACTATTTGTCGTCCTTTTCTGATCTGACTTTTCAACATAAGCATAAGTTTTAGTAAGAAACAGTTTCTGTAATAACATTTCCAGTTGCCTACCTGATTTGAAAAATATATAGTTGAAGAAGTAAAGCACCACAGAATTAACACCCCATGCATGCCACCGCCACTAACTACTGTTCTGAATTTGTTGTTTACAGTTCCCATGGATATCTGTTTACTTTTTCAAGTGGAATTTTCACTACCCATGTGTTTTGCTGGGTAGATTATGGAACTGCTTAAGCTCTATGTGAAGAGGGGCATGGGAATCGAACCCTCGCCTAAGAATGTTTTTAAATATTCACTTCCCACTCCTCACACACCAGGTGAGCCCTGAACATCTCCTCTCTACCTTCCAGGTGCTGTTCAACCAGTTCAAGTACTTCTTCAACCTCTACTTCTTACTTCTCGCCTGCTCCCAGTTTGTTCCTGAAATGAGGCTTGGCGCTCTGTATACCTACTGGGTCCCCCTGGTGAGTAGATCAGCCTCCTTCCTTGAGTTGCCGCAGAGGTTTGCAAACAGTTCTTTGTCTCCTCCCACCCACCCCACCCCAATCTCAGCAGCAGGCCTTTTAGTGCCCTCCCGTCAACACATTGGGAGTCCCCAGGATTTTAATGTCAAACACTGCCAAGATCAGACTGCAGCAAAGTCTGGCCATTCATCCGTCCGTGAGTCAGTTGTCATTCATTATTTCACAAATTACTTATTGTATTCTATTGTATATGGCACAATTTTAGACTCTGGGGACACTTGACAAATGATAAGACAAATCCTCTGCCCTCATTAATTGTATTCGAATTATTTTCTCAGATCACGTTTTCCGTTTATTCTGTGTGGGGTGTTACAGTGTGGCGGTTGGAAAAGCAACAAAATCTGTGCTTTCGTGTGTCTGAAGTGTGACAGAACCGGCTGGCCCCTCCATTCCTTCTCTCACCTCCTTTTCTTTCTTCTCCCCCTTTTGGAAAATGGTTACGGAGCACCTACTGTGTGCTGGGTGAGGGGATCACAGCAGTGAGTGGAATAGGTGAAAGTCCCTGTCCCTGTGAGCCTGGTGTTTGCGGACACAACATCTTTGTTTGTATGTGGTGCTGAGGATCGAACTCGGGCCGCACGCATGCCAGGCGAGCGCGCCACCGCTTGAGCCACATCCCCAGCCCGAGCCTGATGTTTGGAGGAGCCAGACAATCCATGGATAAGTGCCAGTGTTTCAGCTGCTGTGGAGACAGGAGGGTGAGGCCAGGCTCCGTGGCTATCCCAGCTCGATCAGTGCTGCCTGTGGGTGGCGTTGGAGGGGCCTCTTGCCAGGGCAGCCGTGAGGGCCTCCCGAGGCGTGATGGGAATGGGGTGGAGTTTTCCAGGGGGCTACAGTGCCCTGCCCCTGTGCTGAGCATGTGCTTAGAGCATTGAGGAACAGAAGAAAACACAGAGAGGGCCAGCCTTCTACCCACTGTTCTCCAAATAGAGGCATTATGTATGGAATTATTTCTCACCAAGTGGGACTCAAGGGGAACCCGTAGGTTCTCACAAATCTTGTTAAATTTTTTACTTAAGAGAAAGTTGTAAAATTAGAAGACCTCCTTCCACAAAAGCCTTGTCGTTGCAGTTGGTGTTAGCAGGCGGGAGACGATAGGATTTGGTGCAGAAGTACTTCCAAAGTAGAGAGCCAGCTGCCGAGGGACGACCGTGGGTGGGTGTCATGCACCGTGTGTGCCAGGTTAGGAGACGTGTTGTGCTCAGAAGAGGAGGAGGCGGATTTCTTCCCCAGAAGCAGCAGAGGTGCTCTTGGAAGTCAGGAACAGTCTTCTCTTGCTGAGTCACTTGTGACTGAGGTGGGATGCTGGGAGAATCTTCATCCAGGCCCCTGTCTCTGGGGTGACAGACCCTCCTGTGCCTGATGCTTCACCAATGCCAGGTGCTACCTGTGCTCCTCTGCACTGGAAGTGACCCTCAGGAAGCCTCACCTTATCAGCTGAGATGCCAGAGGCAGCCGGGCTCATAGCATGAAGCCTGGGGATGACAGGGAGCCCACGTCCCATCCAGACATGGGCAGGTGCAAACCTGACCAGGGGCTGCCAGACCCACGTGTTGGCAATTTGCTTTACATGAAGCACCCTCATCCCCTGCATGGATCAGACCCTCCGCCATTCACTGCACCCTGGCACAAATCAAACCAAAAGTCATTGTTTTAAAAAAGTGACAGTGTGCATGAAATATCATTTATCACGCTACCTTCTGCTGATGATCTTATGACGTAGCTGAGGCAGTACATTGCTGGGGATGTGGCTCCATGGTGGGGCGTTGGCTGGCACACATGAAGCTCTGGGTTCATTCCCCAGCACTGCGGAAAAAAAAGAAAAAAAGCAATAAGTCCACATGATTCAAGAAACACAGAAACGTCCATACCAAAAAATATCTGCCTTAAGCTACTTAGTGATACCCTGCCTCAAAATAAAAAGGGCTGGGTATGGCTCCGTGGGTAACCACACCTGGGTTTAATCCCCAGTGTCTTCCTGCAACCAAAAAAAAAAAAAAATTTTTTTTCTCACGCAGTCACTGACCTTTCACATGCAGGGTAACATTGTGTTAAACTCTAGATACCCGTAGGTGCCTGTGTTTTATAAACGGCATCCCAAGATGTCCACAAGACAGCTGGGTGTCCCCTGCCACACCTTTCCCCTCAGATGTGCTGTGTGCCTGCCCTGTAGGCCTGTGGCTCTCCTCTCATGTTATATCCATCTGCCCAGCGTGTAGTGTCAACCCATCATCTGATCAGTTCTTGGGGTGCAAACATATTAGCACCTCTCAGCCTCATTTATATTGCAACTGGCACCCATGTGGGGAGAAGACATTGGCCACATCTGTCAAAAATTTGCTCCCCTTTTCACCTGGATTAACGTAGACGTGGTTGAACTATGCGGCAACCTAAATGACTGATGATAATTCGGTAGGAAATAAGATAAGCTCTGTTGAGTTTTTTCGGAGGCATTTATTGGAAGTTCCCATGCAGAAAGGATCAGAACAGGAAACAGGACTCCTTGCTTGGGATAGAGAACACGGGGCTGCGGCGAGCAGAGCGTGGCCTGGGTTCACGCTCAGGCTGTGCAGGACAGGGGCTTAACTCTCCATTTCCACACCGAGGAGCTTGGGAGATCATGAGGGGCTTTGGAATTCTGTGTGTGCTGCAGAATGCAAACGGTGTCCTGCCCAGCGTGGCTGATGTTACTCAACACTGGGAGCACACGGCGGTACTCAGTAGCTGCCCAGTGGTGGGCTAGCTATACTCTGCAGGTTGCCCTGGAGTTGACGGCTATGAAGTAGCTCCGTGTGTGCTGACGTGCGATGTGCACCGTGGTTTTCATTGCATGAGAAAGTAGGTTGCAGAATAACGTGAGCCATATGTTCCAAGGGTTGTGATCACCTTCTGGGAAGTGCTTCTTTCTAGGCCTGATTTATGGGCAGCAGCCAGGAGGGATTTTCCCCAAAGCTGGGTAACTGTGGAGCTGGGAGGTGCCTTTTATCCTCTTAAGTGTTCTTGACCTCACCCTACAGGACTCACACTGCAAGTCACCTCAGTTGCTGAGTCACCAGAAACTAAGTAGATCATATGTGCATTCAGGTTTGAAACCCTGTGGGAGGAAGTCGGTCCCTCCTGCGGTGGGAGGCCAGGTGGCACCTGGGGCTGGTGAACCAGGAGCAGAGTGTTGCGGGTGACTTTATCGCAAGTGCTGCGCCCTTTCCCCTACTGCTCTTGTCCCCATCGGCAGTGGTGCTGGGGAGGCCCCTGCCTAGTGGCAGCTGGATAGGGTGAGGCAGGTGGCCTGAAGCCTGGTAGTTAGGGCCTGGGATGACCTGAAGGGTGCCTGTCCTCTGAGAGGAGTCCAGCCTCCTCTCCGGTGTTGCCTCCATGCTAACGCGATGCTCTGAGTTTTCAAGAGAAGCCAGGAGCCTGATTGTCAGTGTAGGCAGTAATTACCGTTTTTTCTTTTAGCCGCGGCCTCTGCCACCGCCTCTGCTGGGGGTGGAAGCCAGGCAGGTGAACAGCTTGTCTGCAGGTGCGAGCAGCCTCTGGAGTCTCTCATTTCATGCCACGGACCTTTTTCTTTTTTGGTACGGGGATTGAATCCAGGGGTGCTTAACTGAGCCACATCCCCAGCCCTTTTTTGTATTTTATTTAGAGACAGGGTCTCGCTAAGTTGTTTAGGGCCTTGCTAAATAGCCAAGGCTGGCTTTGAACATGTGATCCTCCTGCCTCAGCCCCCTAAGCTGCTGGGATTACAGCCATACACCACCCCACCCAGCCCATGGGCCCTTTTATATTGAGCTTTTCCAAGATGCTTAAGTTTGGGGTGTTTGTCTTGTATTTCTACCACTCTTAATAAGGACTGTGGAAAGGGGATGACGATTAAAGACGAATTAGCATCTATTTTTCAGGTGATGGTGGCTGATTTCACCTAATATCTTTTTAGTGAGCGCGTTATAGTTGCCCACGAAACCGTGGTTCCTCGTGATGAGTTTGTGCACTCTCAGGACAGTTTGGTGACTCTCGGTCTGCGGTGCCTCCCTTTCCCGTCCCTCCTCCCTCCCCCGGTTCCCCTTCCTCTCCTGCACTCTTCTCCTTCCTCCCCGAAGAGATTTTTTTACCTACAAAATAATAAGCCTCTTTTCTTAGCCTGTTTCCTCATCTGTAAGACAGGGATGGTCACATCTAGGTCCTGACTTATTAGGAAAATGAAATGAATTTTTGCAAGAAAAAAATGCTTCATATAGTTCATGATGTATAATAGGAAATTCTCAGAATATGTCTTTTGTTTTGCAATCCTGGGGCTGGAACCAGGGCTGGACAGACACTCTACCAGGGAGCCACGCCCCCAGCCCCATGTCCTCATTTTAATTTTGAAATTCTTACAGTAATGACAATGCTACTTGTTGTCTAGGTTAAGTTTGAGGGTTTAATAGCTCTTTTCCTTACTATTAACATATTGGGGGGGGGGGAATTCTTAGGAGATAGCTTGAATGGTTTGTATGATGACCAAATAGTAAATCTGGATGTTGTCATTGAGGTATAAGGTACACTACCAGACAGCACACAGCAGGTGAGTTTTCAGGTCTGTTTTGACATTTTTCAATACTCAGATAAACCACCTCCATCAAGATACAGAATGTTTCCGTCACTGTGGAAAATTCCCTCCTTCCCTCTGCCTCTTCTGGTCACCTCCCACCCCCACTGGAGGCAATTACTTTTTTGATTTTTTTTTATCCCCCATAGATTAGTGTTGCTCTAGTAAATCAATCTCTCCCCCCCCCCCCAAGTTTTTCCCAAACTCTTGGGCTCAAATGACCCCACTGCCTTAGCTTCCTGAGTGGCTGGGCTTAGTCTATTTTTGATGTACAACTTTACAAAAGAGGGTTAGCACCTTGGGAACTGCTTGTCTGCATGATGGCAGGATTTTCTTACCAGCTCAGACTGCCCCCCTCCCAGTAAAACTCTTCCTTAAGAATTGGTGGATGTTAGGGATATCTTAAAGTGGATAGTTGGAATGTATTTCTGGATGACATTCGCATCCTTTCCTAAAGCAGTTTTTAACCTAGGAGTTCAGATTAATCAGAATGTGTGTGCACATGTGTGGCAGGTATGATTTAGATGCTATTTATTTGCAGCCCAGAGGTTAGTGAGTCGATCCTATCTTTGAATGAACCACAATTTTCTTTAGCATCAATGGGATTTACCCAGGCCCAGGCAGAGAGAAATAGAAACTGGAACGTTTGGGGAAAAAACACAGCGAAAACCCAGATTCTGGTACAGAACAGCAAAACAGCAGTTGGGGGTGGGGAGAGTTCTGCGAACCAGGTCTGAGCTCCCTCCAGAACACATTTCTCTCGCCTTCCTGTGTTGTCTGGTTATGCGTTTATTGTGAAATGTACCCGTTTTCATGTGTTTTACATCTGATTGGAAGCGGGAGCAATCCCTCGGTCGTAACCATGCGTGGGTCTTTGGAGGAGTTTCACGAAGCTGCACATCCCTGGCAAGGTTTATGTAAGAGATTTAAAGTCCTTTGAGTTGAAATTAATCTATTTGACAGGATGAGCAATATGAAAATGAAATCCTCAAAGGACCACAGTGCTCACCCCTGGGCAGTAGCTATTCCTGCCATCTTTAAAAGAAGGCAGAGGGAACCGGTGGGAGAATACAAAGACGACTGTGAAAGTGTAAGAAAAATGAAGGAATGATTTTGCTTCTATTGATACAAGAGGAAAAATCTGAATTGGAAATAGATTGTTGCTGTGGATGCCTCTTCACTCTCCCACCAGATTTTTGGGGGTCCTGAACTGAGGGGAAGGTCCATGTTTTTGTGGTGTGTTTTAATGTTTATTGGTTGATACTTACATGGTCAATGCTTTACTATGATTTCTTTATAAAAAAGTTAAAAAAATTAAGTGGTGGCATGTGCCTATAATCTCAGCAGCATAGGAGGCTGAGGCAAGAGGATTATAAGTTTGAGGCTAGCCTCAGCAACTTAGTGAGGCCCTAAGCAACTTACACCATGTCTCAAAACAATAAAAAGGCCTGGGGATGTGGCTCACTGGTAAGTGCCTCTGGTTTCAATCCCTGGTACAAAAAAAAAAAAAAAAAAAAAAAGTTGAAACAAGTTCCTTTCAGTCCAGGAAGTTAGAAAGTACTTTAGCAGGTCACTTGCTCTTTGTTGTTCATAGGGACAGCGTTGTGCTGTACATTCTGGAAGGTTGACTTCCCCTCTCTGCTGTCAATGCAGTGGACGGCTCTTATTATTTTTTTAACGTTGCTGAATGGTCCCTGTTAGTGACCCCGTCCACCTGGGTTGCTGGAGATGCACAGGAGGATGGCTTCCTTGCTCTGTGGTGTGGGTGCACACGGCCTGATGAAATGCATTTTGACAGTGGCACCGTGAGTGAGAGGTGTCTGTGAGCAAGTGCGTCCCTGGCCTGTGGAAAGACGTCGGGTTTCCTAGGCATTTCCCTCCCAGGCCCTGCGATGGCGCATGTGGGTGTGCCACATGACGCTGGTGGCCGCCTCTGTGTTTCTCTAGTAGCGTGTCTCCAGGTGTGAGTGAGCGTGTGTTCCCAGAGGGAGAGCCAGACTGGGGCGGTGGTGCGGGATGATCCCTGGGTCCTGCCCACTGCCCTGCTGAGCGGCCTCTCACCTCTTCTGCCCCTGGCATCTGCAGGAAGGTACACAGTTGTTTGTTTTAAACAGGGCTCACCCCCTGTCCCCTCTCGTTTCAGGGCTTCGTGCTGGCTGTCACTGTCATCCGAGAGGCGGTGGAGGAGATCCGATGCTATGTGCGCGACAAGGAGGTCAACTCCCAGGTCTACAGCCGGCTCACGGCAAGAGGTCAGCCTGGGCTTCGGGGCCATGGGTTGCAGCTGTCACAGGCCGCTGATGGTCATGGGAGCAGAGTTGAAGGCCTGGGCTGGGGTGTGGCATGTGGGGAGACTGTCGCTCGGTCACTCGGTTGCTTGAGCTTGGGAGCGGGGACGGCACGGTTCCATCTGCCCTGGGCCTGGTAGGACTCGGGCAGCTTCTCTGGCCCAGGGCTCTGCCCCTGGCCTTGTAGGAATTGGTCCCGTCAAATACCTGCCCGTGGTCAGCCTCCACCTGGAGTTAAATTCTGTGCCCTCCTGAGCTGCCCGCTCCCTTTTCCCCGCTGGCTGAGGAGGAAGAGGGCGCCCTCCTGTCACGTGGGAGGCCATGAGCAGCTTTCAAAGATAACCCACTTTCAGAGGTTCTGTGTCGGCAGTGATTACTCTCCAGGCAAACCCTGCAGCATTAGTTTTCATGAAGACAACACATTTACGCAAACGCTGTATCTGCAACGTCGTCTTTGAAGGCATCTTATAAATCCTCGATATTGAGGCATCGTGAGCATGACTTTGACCAGAAGACCAGGGGCCTGATGAACTTGGTCCCTGGCCCCTGGTACGATTTGCTGCACATTTTAGATGGTGGCACTTTAAAGCCCACCCCAGTATACCCCCGGAGAAGCCAGGAGCGGCCTCGCCAAGGCTGCCTTCTGTTTGAAGGTGAGCCAGTCTGAGTGGAGAAAGGTGCAGTCGGTTGTCCTCTAGGATGACTAGCTCTCCTCAGGAATTCATGCTGTTTTAGGAGAGCCGAGGGGAATCAAAACCATGCCTCGCCTGCGGGAAACTGAGGATTCCCGCAGAGATGCCCAGGGGACTTGGTTCCTGACCGGGGTCTGAGCTACAGTGTGTAGTTCAGCTTCTACACAAGCAGTCTGTCCACAGGTTCAGGATTTTTCGTAGTATTTTCTTCCAGGAAAAATGTTGGGGTGATATGTTTTGGGCTCATCCACCAACAATTGAAATTCTAACATATCCTGACAGCGTAGGTATGTTCAGTGTTTATGAATACATTTTTATCGTTGGTGGTCTTAGAAATTCATAGTTTCTGGGATGCGGGGAGATTCGGAGTTGCTCTAGAAATACTTCATTAAGGCAAAGCTACTGTATGCAGGACGTTTTGCCACCTAAAGAAAAAAGCCAGTGTAATCTCCGCAGAAGGCTCCGGCTTTCCGCGTGGGTAGTCAGAAGACCTTCGGCAGGGGCCTTTTTGTGGTCGTGTATATTAAATCCGCCCTTAATAACATATTCTTACTATAGCATCGAAAATGCTTGGCAACCGACAAAAGCCCCACCAGAGAGGGTGCAGAGGGTCTCTCAAGCTCAAGACAAGGGGCCCTGGGCTCCCACTCAGCCGCCCTCCTCCCTCCTTGGTTCTTTTCATATTGCAGTGGCTTTTCCTGTCCTCCCTGAGCACCCCTTCCCAGCCCCTGCCATCACTTCACTCAGTTCTTGAAAAGACGCTCAGGAGAATTGGCAGATGGCTCCAGCATCAAAAACTTGTCTTCCTTTGTTGGTGGCCTTTTGTGGCCCATGGCCCCCATTGTCCCGCCAGTGCAACCGCGAAGGAAACAGAACACAGTTCTGAATATTAGCCCAGGCCCTCGCTCCGCCATTTGTCTTGACCCCAACAAAACAGCGAGCCGACTGTCAGCCTGGAGAGCGACGGAGGCGACTGCAATTACTTGATACACTTAGGGGGAGGCCCAGAGTCCCAAGCCCACACTGTGAGGCCGCAGCGGGAGGAAGGAGAGAACCCGCTTTTTGACTTTGCTGTTAGTATTTCCTTAAGGGACGCTTTCCACCAACAACACCTCGTTGAGTAAGTTCAGAAGCAAAATGAAGTAACTGTCCAGGATTTTCAGAAACAGATGACCTTCATCAGTAGGCTGCAGGCCATGGTCTTTGCTGACATTCTACAGCATTTCCTGATTAATAGTAGCCATATTTGTACCAATGTAGCTTTTAAACCTAAACTTTCTAGCTAGTGGGAAAAAAAGTTGCAAAACTCCTCTAGGGATCTCCTGTGAGCCCCTCGCAGAGGCAGCCATTGTTAGCAGTAAGCACATCTGCTTTTTAAGGAGCCTCTCTACACACACCCCGCGTCATCGGAGAGTCAAGTTGTGGAGGAAATTCCTTTTTATCCCTAAATATTCGTGTCTAATTCTCAATAGAACATTTCTTGCACATAACAGTGCAGATATGAAAATCAGGAAACTTACCCTTGATCCATTACTATTGATCTCATTTATAGTCCTTAATCAAATTTTGCCATTTGTCCTGAAAATGCCCTTTGTGGATTTTCTCCCCCTGGTCCAGGAACCCGTCCAGCTCACTGGTGGCATTTCATTCTCGCTCCTTGGCCTCTCACCTGGTACAGCTCCTGGGTTTCTTTGTCTTGCATGACATTGACATTTTTTTTTTTAAAGGACAGGCCAGTTTCAGGCCAGTCCCTTGGTAACCCGTCCCTTGGTTTGTATTTATCTGATGTTGCTTCAAAATTAGATTCTCGACATGCATCTTGGTTGGGAATTGATATACTTTTAAACAATTGCCAAAGGTGCAGATTCTTATTGGCAGACAGCTATAGTTTCAGAGGCTTTAATTTAATCAGATTAAAAAAATTTCAGACTTACTCAGACTCAAAAAAAAAAAATGATTTTAGAACAGCTGAGCCAAAAGCTCTGATAATGAGCACCTTACCATTGGGAGGGAAAGTGGACCACGGTTAACTGTTTTTGTTTTTGTGCTGCTGGGGATGGACCCCCGGGCCTCACACAGGCTAGGCAAGTGTCCTGAGTCCTGCCCCTAGCCCAGATAACAGTTTTCAAACTGCATTTTTCTGTGTCCTTTGTTTTCACACGGTGGGTTTGCTGTTGGGGTAATTCTCGTTTTCCATGGGCCTTGACATATTTTTAGTGGGAAGTTCTGAGTTCCCCTCAGCACACACACCGTTGCCATGGTGAAAGCATCTGTTCTGCAGAGAGGCGAAAGCCAGAACTTTCCTTTCAGTCCAGACTTTCCGGAATGCCCCGTCTGACAAGAGAGCACATATGTCGGGAGAATTTTAAATATTTTGGATCAGCACAGGATTCGGTACTGAGTTAAAGATGGAAATCAAACCATTCGACAGAGGTATAACTGGAATCAATGATAGCTCACCCCAGCTGTATTGAGCGAATTGACCCTGAGCAGAACAGGCCATGAACATCTAAGAATGTTCTGGGGCCTCGGTCCAACAGATTTTAAAAATAGCTGCTTCCAACACGTTGGGAGTATGGTGGCCCTCATAAGGACCATTCCCTCTCCTGACACTGCCTTGTTCCTTCTGAGCAGTTCTGGTAGTTGAGAGTAGTGGTTCCGCTTGTGCTCTGCAGAAGGGTCTCCACTGCACCTCTCCCTGCTGGGTGGGCAGGTCCTGTTAAGTTCCCAGCAACTAGGTTGTTTTAATGCCCCCCCCCCCCCCCGCACTGTGGAGAGTTCCTACCTTGTACCTCTTGCACAAGAGAACTTGGCACTGTGCCTACAACTTTATGTGAACTGGAGAAAGGCTGATGGTTTTGCTGCAGGGGTTGGTTAAGGGGTATATAAATGGAGGCATGAGCCAGAGGTTTGGGAACCCATCTGAGAGGAGCTGTGATGTCTTTCCAGAGGAGGTGACCTTTATCCTGAGTCTTGGATACCAAAGAGCAGGCCTGGCCACGGGATTTGTGGGACCCACTGTCAGTCAAGCCTATAGGACCCATGTTCAAACGTCATTTAAGAATTTCATAGCCAGGTGCAGTGGCATGTGCCTGTCATCTCAGCTATGTGGGAGCTGAACCAGGAGAATGGGAGATCCTGGGTGTCCAAGGGCAGCCTCGGTAGCTTAGTGAGACCCTGACTCATTATTGGGGATTGAACCCAGGGGTGCTGTACCACTGGGCTACATGTCCAGCTCTTTTTTATTTGTTTGTTTGTTTGTTTGGTTTTAAATTTTGAGACAGGGTCTGGCTAAGTTGCCAAGACTGGTCTCAAACTTGCCTCAGCTTACCAAGTTGCTGGGATTATAGGCATGTGCCACAGCACCAGCCAAAAAAAAAAAAAAAAGTTGCTCGTAGGAGAGCATTGGACTGAATGTGGGACCCACGCCAGCACCCAGATGGTGAGCCCGTGAAGCCTGCCCTGGTTAACAGAGCTTCTAAGAGCCTCGGGTTGAGCGGAGGCTTCTGCTGGGGAGCCCGAAGCCTGGGCTGCAGGACCCCTGGTTCTGGCTCCACCTCGTTCTGCCCAGTTAGACCACGCTTCCTGAGCCTCTCCCTCCGGAGAGAGAAAAGAAAAGACCCGGTAGGCCATGGAGGACCTGAGTCTCTGGGAGGATGGATTCTGGAATCCAGGAATTTGTATATAAGGTGTGTATACAAGAGGCGCTTCAGCTGTTTCAAAAAAATGCTTCCCCAGTTGGGAAGCAGGAGAAACGGGAAGGACTTCTTCCTACCCTGAGCCCACCAGGTGTGGTTAAGTCCTAGTTGGTGGTTACTATTATTTTTTTGTGGTACTGGATATGGAACCTAGGGCTGCTCTACCACTGGCCTTGAAATTGCAAGGCTCCTGCTTCGGCCTCCCAAGTTGCTGGGATTATCAGCGTGCAGCGCCACCAGGCCTGGCCAGTTGGTGATTTTTTTTTTTTTTTTTAAAGAGAGAGAGAGAGAATTTTAATATTTATTTATTTTTTTAGTTATCGGCGGACACAACATCTTTTTTTTGTATGTGGCGCTGAGGATCGAACCCGGGCCGCACGCATGCCAGGCCAGCGTGCTACCGCTTGAGCCACATCCCCAGCCCCCAGTTGGTGATTTTAAACAACCCTGGGGATGTGGCTTCCAGAGATGGGGACACTGGGGAGAAGAGGCTTCTTTCTCACCCACCCCTCGGGCCAAGGCTGAGTAGCCCATAATAAGATCTAAACTATCTGAGCTGATGGGGCTAGTTAAG